GCTCTAGCGACGGGTGAGGTGGCAATGGACACCGCTTCACACACTAGGGACCCATGAAGGTATTGGGCATTGACGACGGGTGGGTGTTGGAGAGAGATGAAGCGGCGAAAAGATTCAAGGGCATTGCGCGTCCAGGGGTACGAGGTGGTCGTGTGTGCCACCTGCTATGTGGTCGCGTTGGGTACAGGTGAAGGGATAGCAGCCTAATGCAGGGAGCGCGGTGACGTGCGTACGTAATCCGGGATCAAGTTGCGACCTGCCCCTCGAGGTGTCCGTCTTGGCAGTCGCCCCACGTCGTCATCGGGTAAGCAAAACAGAGGCTCAAAGTCGACGAACGCGCATCCAGAACGAGGCGGAGCCAGGCAGTCACGTTGCCGCCCAGTATATTCTCCCCGCTGTGCTAGATTCCTGTCCACCTGCACCGCCAACATGAACATCATCAAGCTGCAAAAGTACGTGGGCGCGCCGCCCTTCTCGCGGCATCCGCTGGCTTCCACGGTAGCTAACAGGCCATTGCGCACAGGAAATACCCCCAGTTCGAGCAGGGCGAGATCTTTGGCCTGCAGGATGCCTTCCGCAAGCTCGACGTCGACGACAAGGGCTACCTCGACGAGAGCACCGTCATTAAGGGCGCCCAGCAGTCGGAGCACCAGCCGTACGACGTGGTGCGACAGGCCCTGAAAGAGGTGGAACTCGACAGCTCGCGGAGAGTAGAGCTCGACGACTATGTAGATGTATGTAATCCAGCATGTCACGCGCCACGTGCAAGCTAACCGCTGCAGCTCATCTCCAAACTGCGCGTCTCGTCGCCTGCCCAGCAGCGCATGTCGACCGGCCCAACCCGCCCGCGAGCCGGCACAGCTTCCAGCGTCAACTCGCCCTCGAACCCAGGTCACGCCTCCAAAGGCAGCGTCGGTGGTGGCAGGATCCAGGTCCAGGGCTCTTCGGCAAACGTCACCCACACCATCAACGAAGATGAGCGCACCGAGTTCACGCGCCATATCAACGCCGTCCTCGCCGGCGACCCAGATATCGGCGACCGCCTGCCCTTCCCGACCGACACGTTCGAGATGTTCGACGCCTGCAAGGACGGATTGGTCCTGTCCAAGCTCATCAACGACAGCGTGCCGGACACCATCGACGAACGTGTGCTGAACAAGCCGGGCAAGAAGATCAAGTCGCTCAACAACTTCCACTTCACCGAGAACAACAACATCGTCATTGAGTCGGCCAAGGGTATCGGGTGCTCCGTCGTCAACATTGGCAGTGGAGACATCATCGAAGTACGCGAGCACTTGATTCTGGGTCTGATCTGGCAGGTCATCCGGAGAGGTCTGCTCGGCAAGATTGACATCAAGTTACACCCTGAATTGTACAGGTTACTGGAGGACGACGAGACACTGGAGCAGTTCCTGCGTCTGCCCCCGGAGCAGATCTTGCTGAGATGGTTCAACTACCACTTGAAGAACGCCAAGTGGCACAGAACGTATGTACAAGGTCCATCATACTCATCATATAGCTAATATTTTCAGTGTCTCCAACTTCTCCACCGACGTCAAGGATGGCGAGAACTACACCGTTCTCCTCAGCCAGCTCGCCCCAGAAACCTGCTCTCGCGCGCCGCTCCAACAAACCGACCTCCTCCAGCGCGCTGAGATGGTCCTGCAGAACGCCGACGCCCTCGACTGCCGCAAGTTCCTCACACCCACATCGCTCGTAGCTGGAAACCCGAAGCTCAACCTGGCTTTCGTCGCCAACCTGTTCAACACACATCCCTGCCTCGACCCCATCACCGAGGAGGAGAAGGCCGAGATTGACGACTTTGACGCCGCAGGAGAGCGTGAGGCCCGTGTCTTCACTCTGTGGCTCAACTCTCTCGACGTCAAGCCCGTTGTACAATCTTTCTACGAGGATCTCAAGGACGGCACAGTCATCCTACAAGCATACGACAAGGTCATTCCGGGCAGCGTAAACTGGCGACACGTCAACAAGCCGCGCGAAGGCCAAGAGCTAATGCGCTTCAAGGCTCTCGAGAACACTAACTACGCCGTCGAGCTCGGCAAGCAGGTCCAATTCTCCCTACCAGGTATCCAAGGTGCCGACATCACCGACGGCCAGCGCACACTCACCCTCGGTCTCGTATGGCAGCTGATGCGCAAGGACATTGTCTCGACCCTCAACGGCCTCGCCCAACAGCTCGGCAAGCGCGAAATCTCCGACGCAGACATGATCAAGTGGGCCAACGACATGGCACGCAAGGGCGGCAAGAGCACCCAGGTCCGCTCCTTCAAGGACTCTTCCCTCTCCAACGCCGTCTTCCTGCTCGACGTCCTCGCCGGCATGAAGCCCGCTTACGTCGACTACGACCTCGTCGCCCAGGGCCGCAACGATGACGAATGCTACCAGAACGCCAAGCTGGCTATCAGCATTGCGCGAAAGATGGGCGCTACCATCTGGCTTGTGCCGGATGATATCGTTGCCGTGCAGAGCAGGCTTATCACTACTTTCATTGGTAGCTTGATGAGCACGCATGAGAAGATGGGTGGACAGTAAGCGCAGTTTTGTGAGATCGTCTTGACTGAATGTAAGCCTTTTGAGGCGGATGGGTAAACGATGGAACGAACGCCCTATGGGTGAAGCGTGCGAGCGTTTTTAGTTTTGTCTTTTGGAAAATAAGTTCTTCGCAAGGAATGAGAAAATATCATCGTTGTTCACTGTCATTCTTCGTTGAGTTCAGCTTTTTGATCGGAGACATTATTCCATATGAAGTCCTTTTGAGGTAGACGTGCAGGCTTGGACAGACATAAGCCGACGTTGTCGTAGTTTGATCACAACTACCAAGCATGGGAAGACAGCCGAAGGACACATAATGATGTATGGTGTGGGTTTTGATATTCTTTTATCGCAAATTGCATGTCCGTCCTTCCCCATAATGGCATCCTCATGAGCTTCTTATCGCATCGGTTTCAAGATCTGGAACGCAATATGATTCCGACCGCCTTGACTTTGATTCCTCTTCTGTGAGTTCTTGTAGACACGGAGGAAACAGGAAGCGACATGATGATATTGCGGTTTTCTTTTTGAAGTTTCGTTTCGCAGTCTTCCGCTGCATTTTTACCATGTAGCTTTGAACTCTTCATTTTGGAGAATACGATCTGATCCAATTCGGCGGAAGAGTGGAGAAGGAGTGCAGCGACACAAAGGCTTACGACGGAGGAGTGTCTTTTTCGGAAGGCAGAGGAGAGCCATCTCTCTCTTTTCCTGCTTTTTGTGGTTGTTTCTGACTTGGGGAATGGCGGAAGAGAGCAACATGCCGCTTTGATGTAGCGTCTTTCGGGAGGAAGCACACACATGTCTTGCAATTCTCTATGTTTTGGTCCAGGGAAAGGTGGAAGTGGAGAGTGTGCTGAAGCAAAGACCATGTATGTGGAATGAGTTCCTTTCGGGAGAAAGCAGACACATGTCTTTGCGAGCCATGTTTTTTGGTCCTAAAAAAGGTGGAGGTGAAGAGTGTGTGGGAGGTGCAAGGTCGAGAGAAGACGTGCTTTTATACGCACCGGCGGCGGGGGAGTATTTGTGGCGCAGCGCTGGAGAACGACATGTAGTGTGCGCCTTGTAATTTTGAGGTAGCTGCAATGCTTTGGCGGAAGCCGGCATGGAAGTTTTTCTTGACTGTTTGTTGTTGTGCACAGAGCCGAGGCGGATGCCATGAGTCCAGTCGAACGTATTTTTGGAAGATGGGTAGGCTGAATATGATCGAAGGCCTGGACTTGGAGAAGGGAAGGAGCAGGCATGGGGCGTTGTGCAGGCCATTTCTTTCCGAACGACGAACAGCGACATGAAGAAGGCTCGAATATCTTTGAACCGCGCTTCAGACTTAGGTGTCATTGGAAGGTATCGGACATCATTTCCCCCGGAAGTGTTTTTTGGCAATATCCTCTTGCTGTGCTGAGGTCCGAAGGCGGAGAACAGATCATCCATGAAGGCTTTCGATATTTTGAGAAGAGAAGGCCATCAGATATGTCTTCATTCTTTTGGGAAAGCCGCATGTACTAGGGGAAGATAGAAGAAAGCAAGAGGTAGAGAGCATTTTTGAGTTTATATACTGCCTTCGTGGTAGAAGATGAGATGACAGTGTCGAGGAAAACAACATGGCTTCGACAATTTCCAAGTTTTGGAGTAAGAGAACTTTGTATGTAGCCATGATGCTAAACCTACCTTGGACTTTGGCTACATACTTTACATGAGTATTGCACGCACCTGTACGCTTCTATATCCCCTCCTCAATCACGTCCTCGTCCCCCCACCCCTCACACCCATACTAACCGCCTCCGTCCCACCACTCTTCTCCCACCCATCCGCCTTCCTCCTCCCCAACGCCCTCCTCAATATCCATTCCTTCGCCGTAACCTCCTCCTCACCCCCCACCTCCCCCCCCTCCACAAGACTCCTCAACAAAACATCATCCTCAGGCCGACAAAAATACACAAGACTATACCTCTCTACACTCCCCTGTTCCCCAGGCGGTGCAACAACACGATGGATATTACTCCTCAACGCGCCGTTGGAGAACTTGACGAGTGCGTCACCTAAATTTACAATGCAGTGGCCCGGTAAGGGACGAACGTATGTCCACCCGTCTTCGCAGAGTTTCTCCTCGATGGCTGTGGGTGGTGGGGATGAGGAAGTTGGTGCGAGAGGGGATATGTGGGCTGGTAGTCTGACTTGCAAGCCACCTAGGCGGTTGAATAGGACGGTCACGCTGCCGAAATCCGTGTGTTCGCCCAGTGCGACGCCTTTGAGTGATTGTTCTTGGGGTGGTGCTTTGACGAAGCGGATTTGGTCGCCTGATGAGGCGTGCAGACGGTGGAGGGCGGGGAGTCCGCCTGCTGAGCTCCTTTCTGATGTGAGAGGGAGGCGTGACGAGAGGAGAGAGGTTATGAGCATGCAGATTGCATGGGAGGATGTGATGTAGGATTTGTATAGGTAGCGGTGTGGGTTTAGGACCGCTGGGGAGGGAAGAGGGTCGCTGAGACCGAGGATGTCGTCTTTGGAGATCTAGAAGTATTGAGTTAGTAGTTGAGGTTGGAACATTGAAGTAGAAGAGGAGGAAGATTGATGTACATTGTAGAATTCATTCCGGTCTTTCGTTCCTTGCTTATCGACATAACCTTCACCGTACCCTTTGTAGCCAAAGTAACTGCCTTGGTCTTTGAAATCGTATTTGATCTTCTCAGAGACATCTAGATCGTAGAAGTCTCGCATTATTTCGAATAGTTTGTCCACATCTTGAAGTAGCGCATCGCCGTCGACGGCGGATGTATTGGTAGTATTGTTGCTGTCACAGTTTGATTGCGTATTGGAGTTGCGTACGTCGAGATAGAAGAAACCCAACTCGCGACATGCTTGCCAACATCTGTTTTGTTCTTCTTCGTCGTGGTCGAGTAACTTCTGAAGCGAGATGCGGAGAAGTGGCGCGGTGGGTACGTTGTCGGGGAAGACTGGAAGATCGGGAAAGTGATCGCGTGGTGGGGATGGGGAGTGGTCTGAGTGAGGCATGGCGAGTAGGTGTCAGATGTTTCATGTGGTAAACTACATCGCGGAGGAACGCAAGATACGTGCGTTGTTCGCATAGAGTGTGGGCCGGGTATAACTGCTGGTGATAAGGTAGACAAGTGGAGGAGCGCGTGGAGAACGCGGGGTAGCCTCGGATAGCTAGGGCGATAGACAGCACTAGGGCAGGAGGATGGAGTTAAGAAGGAGCAATCATAACAACATGAGACAGAGACATCACGATGCATGAGACGATTGTTAAAGGAGACGCAATTCATTAACTATCCACAGATGTAGCTCCGATATTTCCACCACCCGAACAAGCAGACATGAACACCGACCCAAACACCGAGAGCGATAGACACCGATCGATGCCTGAGAGCGCCATGCTACCCGTCAAGTGACGATGCAAAAGTTATGAACACAAGTATAAGATGAGGGGCCATGAGCAAGCAAACGCCTAAGGGATGATTGAAGATCGAACGTTTGAATGAGACCTGAGCAATGTTAGACGATGCGCGACGATGGACTTTGAAGGTGATGATGCTTACCATTGACGAGATGTTTCTACAACCTGGATCCGTGGACAACCTTGTAGTCGACAGCCATCTCCATACCATCGTCATCGATGACGAGGATGCGAACGCTGCCACGGCCGTTGTCGAAGGACTCGGTCAGGCGGGAGATGAGACCGCTCTGGTCAAGGACGGGAAGACCCTGCTTGACATCGCCAGACTCGGTCATGGCAACAACGCGACCGTCCTCACGGATGTCAAGAACACGGTACTGCTTGAAGACAGGTCCGAGCATGTTCTGGACAACGACGGAAGGAGCCGGGTTGGAGATGAAGGAGGACTCCTCATGGAGCTGCTTGGTGAACAGGTCAACACCGAGGTAACGGTGCTGGCCAGTCTGGGAGGAGGTGGTGATGCGGATGACCTGGCAAGGGCGGCCCTGGAGGATCAGGAGATCGCCAATGCGGATGTGGTGGCAGGGGATGGTGATAGTCTTGGTGGAAGCCATCTTGCGGACTGTACGGACAGAAGTCGGGACAGGTGCGATAGAAGCGGAGACGGGTGCGGGTGCGTGGGTGATTGAGTGGGAGTGGGCAGGTGCAGCAGCAGAGACTGTGGACCTGGGAGGGGCTGGGGCTGGGGAGCTGTGGACGCGAACGACCCTTTCAACTGGAGCTCCGGATTGGACGGGGCGGGCAGGGGCAATAGAAGGAGTAGCTGAAGTGTACTTCTCCTTAACGATTACCTCTTCACGGTCGTCGTCGTACTTGGCACCGGGGTAGGAGTGCTCGTGAGAGTGGTGGTGACGGTGAGGGTGGATGGGGTGTTGGATACGGTCGGCGACCTTGTGAGCGGCGTGAGAGATTCCTTGACGAAGCGAGTGGTATTGGCCCTCGTTGTCGTAATATCCCATATCACGCTTGCGGTGCTTGGGGGGTGCGGCAGTGGAACGAGCAGATGATTCTACTCGGACCTCAGATGGCTGGTGGGAGGCAACAGACTCGACGTGCTTGCTGCTGGGGAAGGTGTCGTGCTTGGTGGTGTATGTCTCCTTCGAGTAGCTTGCACCGGCGACGATAGGACGGGTACGTTCGCGAATCTGACGTTCAGTAACGTCGATTTGGGATGGAGCGTAGTCGGTGGCAGGGCCGTGGACTGTATTGAAGTGTCTATCGTAGGTCCTGTCCTGAACCTCGACGTGGGAGTGGGATGATGTAGGAGGTTGGGGGTGAGGTTGGTAGCTGAAGGAAGAAAGGAAGGTCAGCTTTGGGTTGGGCAAGGAAGAGCTTAGAGGAGGTGAGGGAAAAGTGGGGCATGCATGTCGCTAGGACAACAACAGATGAAAGGGGTTAGCGGCTAGCGCGTGGCTGGGTGCCGCTAAAGTCAGGGGGTTGGTCTGTTGTGCTGATCCGTGCGAAGATGCGCTGGCAAAACAATGGATCGGACTTACCGGTCGTGGGATCGCTCAAACTCTACGCGGTCAGTACGCTGAACGTGCTGAGAATGAGGCTGGGGCTGGGGCTGTCCGGGCTGTCTGTAGCGAGTCTGCTCGTGGATATGTAGCTCCTCACGGTGCTGGGGAGGCTGCTGAGCGTGAAACTGCTGGGGCTGGGGAGGCTGCTGAAACTGCTGCTGCTGCTGCTGGGGAGGAGGCTGGGGACGACGGAGACGCTCTTCTTCGTAGATGCGGACCTCTTCCTTGACGTGGGTGTCGTGGTGTTGCTGCTCAAACTGCTGCTGCTGTTGGGGAGCCGGAGGAGGAGGGAGGACGGTAGCGGAGAAGGATTCGTGGACCTCTTCGTGACCTTCCCGTCCGTGAGAAGCCTGTTGCTCGAACTGTGCTTCCTGTTCTTCTACCTGGACACTGGTAGATTCCTTACCTTCCGCGTTCCGATACGCAGACGGGAAGACACTGAAGGGGATCGGAACCTGGGTGGATTAGCATAATTGCTTATACACTCGCGGTGAGAGAGCATACTCGTGCTTCAAAATCCAGTTTGCCGGAGTCTGGTCGTTCGTTCCTGAAAACCCTTCGAACCGTTCGAAAACAATTCGAAAGGAATCAAGAAGAACTTCTTGGCTCCTTTGAGGGTCTCACGTGGAGATATTTGGAGATATAGGATCTACTGAAGAGTCGCCAGCTTTATGGTGTTGACGTGCAGCAGCTTGAAGATGCGCAATTGGATGCAGTAGCGGGGTGTAGGTGGAGGAGTGATGGAGTCAGGCTGGCCGAGGAGGGGGATCAAGTAGATTGGCGGTCAGTCGGATCACTGTTGTGTCGGCGTATCGATGGTCGCAGGGTTGTGGAGGCTGGGAAGCTTTGGCAGAGCTGTTCAAGCTGGGACTAGCGTTATTGACACGGAGCACTAGCGCGTATCAGCTTCCCCTTTTTCCCAGCCATGGACCGATTCAACCCCAGAGAACCCATCACATCCTGGCGCTTCTCGCACCGAGGTAATTTCGGACGCGCAACTGATCTTAGCACGGCTGTTGACCGGGCAATGGCCAGCAATGGGTGTCGCAATCCAGAGTCAAGTCGCATTGGAGCTCCACAGAGCTGCCGGGAGCTTCCCCGACCTGGCTGCAGCTCCACGCCCATGGCCATTGGCAGTGGGCCGATCCCAATGTTGCGTGGTATGCTTCAATTGGGGCCGGACGGCCTGCGCATGCATGATGCGCCAGCTCCTACGTGAAGAGAGGCATTTTCAGCTCAGCCTATCCATGTCGCGCGCGGCCAGCTGTTGATAGCTCCAAGCCTCTCCCCAGCCACCGCGTTTTCGTCGCGTCATAATTGGTCAGAGCTCCATATTGCTGCAGCCCGAAAAGCATGGCTGCAGCTGCGTGGCCCGACGATCACGGATCCGCCGGACTATCACGTGCGAGACGGTTCATCGATCGCGGTCCAGGTGCTGCAAATTGACGCGGACTGGGTGAGCTGTCCGGTCGCTTGTGGACTCGACGCATGTGAACCGTGGTTCTCAACGGCTGTCCGCATCATCGTCCCCACGACGTGCGCCCGCGTCTGACATGCAGCACCTGCCGCAGCGACGGTTTCGTGATTGTGGAGAGTTTAGTGATTGGATTGGTGTGCTACAAGGACTGTGTGGTCTGTCACTGTCACGTAGCTGTTGTACGGTGTTCGCACTGAGAATGTCAGCAGCCTATACCCAGGAGCAAATGGTCGCTATAGTTCGGACAGTCTGCTATGCATGCCTCCAAATAGCTCCTGCAAGATCTGACTCTTTTTTCTGCAATGCGCGTTTCTCTATACTTTTCCCTGTGTATACGTTGTCATACATAGCAACACTAACGATTTGTAACAAGGATGTAAAACCGACGTCGGTTTGGCTTCGGGAAGTCGATGACCCGACGAAGCATTTCCGATGATTTTTGCGATACCGGATGACTGACCCGATTCCAATGACGATGGAATTTGCGACGTGCTTCAATGTAAGAGTTGCATGTTTATGCGGAAATCGACGTTGGCTGGCCGCGACTTCCAGTTGTCCATTAGCTGTTGATCGCGCTGTTGTATTGCATCTCGGTTATCAGTATAGGTAGGAGCGACTACACAACCTTACTCTCTACACCCTTCTCATCTTTGCTATATCGTTCATTCCATGATCAGTCTCATGCTTGGACCATACTCGTGGACGCCTGTAAACTTTCCATTTTCAGCGCGCATTATGTCATGTCTTCATGAGGCTCTATCCAGTCGTCATTTCCCCTTCTAGATCAGCTAGCATCTGAAGCGGCGAGCGAGTTTGTGTTGTACCCAGCACATGGCAATGCTTACCAGACCGAATTTTGCTATTACAATGAATTTCCCACTTCAACGCAATACTTCCTCTTCTTCATGTCGGGTTAACTAGGAAGGCGACTGTATAGAGAGCCACACAGTAATGGATGTACTACAGCCTCTAGTAACCCGACGCTTACTTCTATTGTTAGGGTTTGTGCTTTCCGTCGTGACATTCTATTATCTATCGAAGAGCGAGAGAACAGAATAACTCCGCTGTTATTGTTATTGTTAGAAAGAGCTCTCAACTATCGTCCCTCTTTCCATTTCAGACAGTCTGCAGGAACAAACACCACATCGAGGTAGCTACGATGGACGCCACAGACCAGATTGGGAGACATCTATCTCTATGATATGATTCCACCTTCTCCATGACAACACGCATTGCTTACCTTGATAGCATTCAACACCCCATTGTCTACTAGTCTTCTATTCGACCATTCATAAGCTGTTGAGTACATCCCAGCTCAAGCATGCGTTTCCCTTCCACGGCGCTTCTAGCGTCGACGTTGCTCGCAATATCAGCAAAGGCCCGCTTTGTCATATACGCAGATGAATGGCACCCAACGCGTCCAACCAACCCACGAGATCGAGCTGGCATCGACCATGTCATCCTCGCCTTTGCCCCAGCCAACGCAACAGCTACGTTCCAGCCCAAAGTTCCCATACACACCATCCGCACCGAGTTCCCCAACGCAAAGGTCATGATTGCTGTTGGCGGCTGGGGCGATACGGTTGGTTTCTGTCAAGCCACGAAGTCCGACGCATCGATGCTCGCGTTTGCCGCTGATGTTGCTACTATGCTTGCCAGGACTGGAGCAGATGGAGTCGGTGAGTACACCATCTACCTACATTGGTTACTTGTCGATGCTCACAACAGAAGACATCGATTGGGAATATCCTGGCGGCAACGGGGCGGACTACAAACAAGTGGCAAACTGGGATCAGACTTACCAGATCGCCGCGTTCCCTAAGTTACTGGCTGCCATTCGTGCCACTATTGGGAAGAAGCTGCTTTCGATCGCTGTCCCAGGAAAAGAAGGCCAGTCATCATATACATGTTTGAAGCAAGTCAACTGACAAGTAGTAGTTGACATGCTTGGATACACTCGAACAACCGGACCTCAGATCTGGCCATCCGTCGACTTTATCAACGTAAGTAACATTTACCCCTCCGACTCCAACTATCAGATATCGTACTGACTCCACCAGGTGATGAGCTACGACCTAATGAACCGCCGAGACACAGTAACCAAACACCACAGCTCCGCCATCGATGCCGAAAACAGCATAAAAGACTACCTCGCCATGGGCGCACCCCCCTCCAAGCTCAACCTCGGCTTCGCATACTACGCCAAATACTTCACCACGCAAGGCGACTGCAATGGCAGCCCCCTCAACTGCCCCATCGTCCTTGCGGAAGATGCCCAAGGCAAAGACACACTCACCTCTGGCGCCTGGACCTTTGAGAGATCTCGCATGCGCCCCGTTGATGCCTCCTCTCTGACCGTATCCCAAGACGGCACCTGCGGTCCAGAAAAGGGAACAAAATGCGAAACAGGTTGTTGCTCTCAACACGGCCACTGCGGTACTTCGCCTGAACACTGCAACGGCGCCTGCCAACACGCGTTTGGAACTGGATGTACGGACGCCGATGTAGCAGCTTCATGGCAGCTCGCAGCCAAAGACGGTATTACTGACGAAGTATCCGGCGGACAATACTACTTCGATGCCACAAACCGCCTCTTCTGGACATGGGATACGCCCGAACTCATCACGAGGAAGTTCGACAACATCGTCCGCAAGTACAAGCTCGGTGGCATTATGGCGTGGAGTCTAGGTGAAGACAGCGCGGACTGGAGTCATATCCGACAGATGGCGAAGGAAGTTGCCAAAGTTGGACTTGGTTTGACGACTGCCAGCGATTCCAACGAGCCAGTCGATCGCGACATGTACGACGAGCTCACTCATTATTGCTGTCAAAACATTTCCCATCCAGCGAATACCGTGACCTACCCACCACCATTGATAGTTCCAATCTCTTGGCATACTATTAAGGTAGATTGCGGGGATGGAAAAGGGTTGGTTTACTGTCCGGCACTTCATCTGGACCACTACGATGGCAAAGACTCGGTTCAGCCCAAGTCGAACGAGAATGGCCTTGTTGAGATGCAATACACTTCGGAGCCCCTCCAAGCAATGCCAACGGAGCCCAACCAAGCTTCACTCGAGACTCCGGAGCCTCACTACCGTGTCTTTTTGGAATGCATGGGTGACGATGGTTGGCTGATAAGCTGTCTAGAATGGGTCACCTCGAAGGTTCTTCATGGAACCGCAACTGAGCCCGAACCCGCCGCATTCGAGACCCCGTCGGCGACTGACGGTGTCTTTATGGAATGCCTGGGTGAGCATGGTGGCCTAACTCGCTGTCCACAATACTACACAGACGCCGTCCTGTCCAAACAATCCGAACTCTACACACCCGCACTGCATACTCCGTCGCCGACTGACGCTATCATCATTGAATGCATGGGCGAGAACGGTGGCCTGACTTGGTGTCCGCAATCCTACACCGACGAAGCCCTATCGAGTATGAGTAAGTCCAAGGCAGCCGCACTCCAGACTCCGTCGCCAACACTCTTGCCGACTGACGGTGTTTTTCTTGAATGCTTGGGTGAGGACGGTTGGTTGACATCGTGTGGGGTATCGGCCACGCAGGAGTTTCTATCGAAGCTGAGAGACTACAACGCACTGCATACTCCCTCGCCGACTCCCTCGCCGACTAGCAATGTCCATTTCGAATGCACAGGCGTGCATGGTGGCCTAACTCGCTGTCCGCATTCCGTCATGGACAACTTCGTATCCAATAAATTTTCACTCGACGCAGCCGGACTCGAGACTCCGAGGCCAATGCATCAGAACCCTACTGCTGTTATGACCGCAGCCGCTATCGAGACTGGGTTTACTACGCATATCGGTATACCGCAGGCGCCGGAGAGTGAGCTTCCTGGTGGATCTTACGGTATGCGCAGGGGTGAGAGGGCACATAAGGCGTGAGAAGGCTGTTTTGCAGAAGTCTTTTTTCTGGACGCTGGCGACGTTTCGTTGTGTTTTTATTATTGGTTGAGTTTGCAAGATGGAATGCTTTGGGCAGTCGACGGCGCGTTGTTTCTCTGTCTGTAAAGTAGCGTGCGATTAATGAATTACTACTCTTTGCCTCCACGACACAAAGTTCGTGGTAGTCCTATACTAATACAATCATCCCATGTGCCACGTTATCCAAGCTTGACCCAAGATTTGTGCCCACCCTGACCTCATTTCAATCCATCAGAGGGAGCCTATGCCTTGACAGTACTCCTCTTCATACCCTTCCTTGCATTCTTCTCCCTCTCCTTTTCGAGGAACTTGCGCTGCTCATCGGCACTCAGACGACCCAGCTTGGCGTCTCTCATCTCCTTCTTTGCCTTGTCAAGCGAAAGCTTCCTCTCCTCGGCCTTCTCCTCATCATCTGCCTTCTTGATCTTGGCGATTTGCTCGTCGCGAGTCTGCTTGATGCGGCGGAGGGCTTCGGGGCGGAAGTGTCCATGCGAGGCAAGCTGGTCGGTAAGACGGAGGAAGTATTGGAAGATGGGCATGGTGGAGGAGTAGTCCGAGGCGAATTTCAGGGAGAGGCTGAGGCGCTTCTTAGGCTTGGTTTCGTCGAGGCTAGAAGACGTTAGCTCAATTCATGTTATAGAGGGATTGAATGCTGGATGACTTACGTCCTGGGCGCGTTGATGGGCTGGTCGCTGACAATGATGGCCTCGAAGCTGTCTCCGGCGTCGTTCACAGCCTTGATGAGCTCGGGTGTGAGCAGCATGTCGGTAACCTCGGCGCTCTCGCTCATGACAGTGACCCAGACAGGCAACTTGGCGTGGTCGCGCGTGCTGGTCAGAGACAAGTCGTAGCGCTCGTCGCGCATGCGCTTCATGATATCCTTGTGTACGATTGCGAAGACGAAGCCGTCGAAAGAGCTGTTGGTGACCTTCTTCGCGTCGGCCTGACCGTACGAAGGAGCGAACTTGGTCTCCCTGCCATCGAAAACGTAGGCCGTAGCCTCGAGACGCTCGCTAGGTGCAGGGAAACTTTCGAAGAACAGGGGAAGGACGCTCTCTCCCAGCCACATGAAGGGGTTGGCGCGCTTGTAGAAGCTCAGCCTGAAGTCGACGAAAGCAACGTTCTGGCGTCCAGTCGCGTAGGTCTGGTACTCGTCGGCCTTCTTCTCCTTAAGCATGCTGTCCACATCTGCAACCGCTCCCTCTCCGTCTGGGCGCGTGTAGCCGACTTGGGCAAACTCTTGGGTCAGGACAGGGGCGTGAGCCTTCATCCATGCCTTGGCCTTGCTGCGGTTGCGCTTGGTGCCCCAAAGGTGGACCGCGATGAGAGCAACGAGGAATGGCAGGATGTACATCTCCAGCTTGAAGTCGTCCATGGTGGTGCGCTCCCACACTCGGTACCATGCTGTATAGGGCCGGTTATCGCCGAGGCCTGTAGGAGCGGCTTGCGCTGCACCGGTACCGGTCGTGAAGGACGAGATGGCAGCGGGTGTGGGCTCAGGAGCACCTGCGTAGTCGGCGAAGTCTGGTTGGTGTCAGCACAGCCATTGGTTATATATATTGATAAGCTCTGCGATTTCCGATGGTATCGTCACGATAACCTCGCGACTCCATCTCCTGTCAGGAATTCGAGTATCGCAAAGGGGTCTCGTATGGTCCCGCATCCCAGGCTGGTGGCCTCGCGACCGCGCATGCAACGTAGTGTACGTACCATCATCACCAACAACTGGAGCATGGACAGGCTTTTGGCCACCGAAGAGACCCTTGACGAAGTCTGCCATTGTGTCGATGCGTCACAACGAAGGAGCGTACGTGGAGATTTGGCGGCGCGGGAGGTGGTTTGGAGGATCTCGGCTCGGTTCCACGTTCCAGGCACTGACCTCATTTTACAGCGACTAGCACGCATGTGGAGGGGCATCTGGGCAAGCTACCCCAGAGCACCTTCTGGTTTCGCGCCTGGATCTGGTGCAGCTTATTGTGAAATTTCGGTCGGGTGTTTTGATATTAGCTACTTGGGGACATTGGTATGCCAGACTGCTCATCTAAAGTGGTTGTGTCCGAACTCGACACTGGTAGGAATGGGCACTCTGCCATGACTATGGAAGCTCAATATCAAGTCCCGTTGCAGTCCGAGTAACTAAACTGTCTGCTGCCTCACACGTATCCGCAAAGTCGACCCAAAGACGTATTCTCGCAAGTCAATCTAGTCATCGTTGCAAGTGACAGCCATTCGTGTTTTGTCAGCCACGTGGTAGCTGCGTGGTAGCATTACTTCAGAATAAGTGAACACAGCGTAAACAGACAATGAAGATTGTTCTATACGGTCTGACAAAGGAGATGTTGTAATGGGTAAAGACTTGTCGATTGATTGTATATTGATGCAGAAGACTCATGCTGGTCCCACCCATCTGGATATCATGCTCGAAGTGCGGAGTCTAGTTCTTGCCGAACCAGGTCTTGTGTCCCTGAAAATAGTTAGTGATGATGTTGCACTCAATTCAACCCAATGCAAACTTACAAGGACGAGACGGCCCATCATGTACATGCTGGCGCCGAGGCTGCTGAACATGATGACCTTGAAGCCAGGAACCAGGTACTTTCCGCGGGCCTAAGAAGCAATCTGTCAGCATTTGTCCCTGTGTTTTCTCACTTCCAGACGCCATGTGTCCAGCACCACATGCGCATCATCTCTGACCACTTAATGCCCCCATCAACCCTCCTCTTGTATGTTCAGTACGCACTTTCTCCCAGGTCCTCAGTCCGTCGTGCTTCTGGAACTCGCGTTGCCAGTAAGGCACCTTGTTCTCGCGCATAACCCAGCTGCCGACTGTCAGTATCCAGCTCTGTGCGGAAAGGCGGAGGAGCGTTGAAGGCTGTCGCGGTGCTCTCCGGGGCCCTCAACCGGGCCCAAAGCTCGAGGATGGACGTACCCAGGCATTTTGAAGAGTGTAGAGGAGTATTGCGCGGCTTGCGGGGGCAATTGGTGGATTCGTGGATTGGTGGATTTGGTGATGTCGCGAGGTCGAATGATCCGCCGGCGAAAGCAAGTCGACCGCCAAGGCCCTTGGCCGCTTTGGGCGCAACAACTTTCCGCATCTCCAGTTCACGCACGGCAATTGCGACGCCAATGGACTGACTTCGCCCTTCGCCCCTGTCTTGTTGATGCCACCGGCTCTGGACAGGCTCCTCGCCAGCCCGTCAGCCCTGCGACTCCTGCGCTCCATCGTCAATGCCCCCGAACTACCCGCAGCCTGTTCCGCGGCGACAAAATGCTGCCCGCCAGTAGCACGCCGCCGCAACTACTCGACCCAGCCGAAACCGCAACCCAAGCTGAAATGGAGGCGAATGAAGGATGCAAGCGAAGACACGGCAGTCCGAGACCACGTGCTCAAGGTACTCCAGCGTGACGAGTCCAACGATACTCTCCCGGCCGTAGATATCTTCGAAAACGACGTCGTACGTGTAGCGGAAAGGGAAGACGATCCTGCACAACTCGCCGCTATCCTTGCAAGCGAAGAGAGACTACACGGGAAAAAGGGTGTCCGCAATGTCTGGCAGAACTTCCGCCATCGAGGGTACCGCCTGCCCACGGAAGACACACCCGATGCCGCATTCCTATGGGGAACTTTTGTGAAGAACCACCTGATCACGGACAAGGCAATAGAGCACGCCGAGGAGCTGCTTCACGAAACAGGCAATACATACCCTGGACTGTACTATCTGGTCATGAGCCACTGGCTTCCGAGGAGGACAGCGCTAGCGTTGAGGCATCACTACGCGATTCAAAAGCGCTTGAAACCTCAACGGCTTCCCCTGCGGCAGCTGGCACATTGGGGACGATCGACTTACAAGCATGGCGCATACGAAGCATTGATGGAGATATATGAGCACAGCAATGAGCGGGACCTCTATGACGAGGTGGTGCCAGCGCTCATTGAGAAGGATGACATAACTGCGGCACGCCGATGGCATGCACTTTGCACTCTTCGCAATGATATGCCGTCAGAGTTCGTCGCGTCACATCCTCTCGTCCAGCTGTTTACCGTCGAGGATTCAGCTCGTGAGGTCTACTTTGACACGAAAGGGTCGACGAAGAAGTGGAGGCGAGATGCAGCAAAATACAATGAGAACCTTCTGCGCCGCTTGGAAGGCCCCGATACCGCGCCCGTCCGATTCGAAGACTCGTTCGTCGCCCGCATGTTCGCAACGCGTACCTTTCCACCGGCTTCGATCATACAAGGTCTCTCTATGGTGGGCATTAACGAGATTGGGCCTCAAGCTGTGCTCACCATGGCCCTGCAAACACAACCGGTGGAGGAGCTACCTATGAGGTTCGAAGAGCTCAGGCAAGCAGGTATTGCCCTGCAGGGCTGCGTCTTCTCTTTGGCACTGGAGACATTCGCAATGGAGCAGAAGTGGCAACTGGTGCGCAGTATGCTGCAAAGTGACCAGCATCCGGATGTCTTTGGCGACGTGGAAATGCAACGCAAGCTGCTCGAGCACTATCTTGACAACGACGATCATGTGCAGGTCCAGCGCACACTTGCCATTCTAACGCTCTTTCACAATGACTCTAGTCAAGAGTCTTGGAACCTGCTCTTGCAAGTCTACATTAAACGCTCTGGACAGAAGCATGTCGTGGAAGTGCTCCAAGACATGCGTGCTCGCGGCATCATGGTGTCGCCTGAATCAATCATGGCCATTCGCAGCCTATTGCGTCGTCGGCAACGAGGACACAAGCCTGTCAGTGACCGATTCGATGACTTGCGTTTCGTCGCGCGTGTATTCGTCATGATCCTAGAGAACGGTCTAGCCCCCATCTCTCCACTCCAATGGCGCGAGATCATACGCAGATTTGGCATGGTTGGGAGGTTTAGGGAGCTTAGAAGACTTTTACTCTGGCTTCTTTGCTGGTATGCACCGAGAAGCAGTTACCAGTTCAGCACGTTGCCAAAATCACCATTTCTCGAACCGGCAACAGCGAAACTGCGTGCTGCATACCCTGAACGATTCCACTACTTCCACTTCCCAACGACGGTCACACAGCGCGAGAATCTGTTGCATCCCGTTCGACAACTGTTCGCTCCCTCCCTTCAGCAAAGTCTCATCATCTGGGGCTTCAAAGCCGGACTCCTGCCAAACGCACCTCTCGAGCAGTCCATGCTGGGCCCCACGCTGGCCAAAAAGCATTATCGTCGTCGGTTACTGCAGCGCCGGATGCTACGCCGATTAGAGTGGAGCGCAGGTCTACGAATCGTTGTGCATCTACGAAATCTCGGCGTCTTTGTTCACTACCATACCGTACTCAAAGCCTTGCAGTCGCAGTTCATAAACATGTTCGGCCATGGTCGCTCCAAAAAGAGAGAAAACAGAGTGGTTGAGAGGTCCAACACGCTCCCCTATGCGCGATACGTTCACGAGGTCAACAAGATATGGGGCAGTCCGCTGCTGCGGGAACCTCAGCTCTTCGGCAAGGGCATGGTACACGACCACATGTGGCACCCACGTATGAGACGGAACATCAAGCGCAGAGCTTCCATCAGCCTTGGTGAGATTCTGGGCCCGAACTGGAGGGACCGCGACACGGAGAGCCACACGGCTGTCAAGCAAGACGAGAATGTGGCCGTAGCTCAGCTGCAGAAACACTTCAGAAAGCAGGCCAAAGCCATCGAACCCGGTTCTGAGCCGCAGCCTCCTTCCACCATAGCCGTCCCGCGCGACCAAATCGATAACGGTAAGAAGTGATGAAGCAGCCCATACGCCGGCGACTAAGATAACGACCTGTATGCCGGGCCATGCCATGATACGTAAAGAATATACACCATAACCTTTTTCGCTTACTCCAATCCCGGATCTGGATGAGTGCTTCTGATGATTCGCTATTCCTTGCTTACACACTTTCTCAGCCGTTCAAGGAGTGAAAATCCAGACCTCCGAAGAGACGGAACGGGTGGAGGTGCGGGCGCGTGGAGCCGTCGCTTGGGTGAAAGCGGGAAGTCGCGCTAGTGTGCGCCTCATGAAGGCTTGTCCTGCAGGACCTCAGCTTTACACGTTCGCACCTCCAATCTCGACATACAATCGTTTGCGCGCACCACTAACTGAACTGCTACCCATGGAATACTCACCGCTCCTCTTGATGCGCAGTCATAACTATAGCTGACCACGCGGGAGATGCTGCTCGTGCGGCCAGAAGCAGGCCTTCCGTCCCGCTTTCTCAGCCTTCCCAGCTTCTCAGCTCTCAAGCTCATGAAGTGGCTGATTGACGCCTGCTTTTCGTTCGCTAATTTGATCAGCACCCTGTGTCATGTCATGACCATTCGCCAGGCCCAAAGCCGAGGACAAAGTCGGCCCCCGTCATGCCAACAAGCGCTCTGCTGGCGCGTGGTCTTTCCTCGACCGTGCCTCCTGCTTCAACTCTCCATGTAAGATCCCGGAAACATGCGCCAAGGCTGAAAACTCTGTTATGCAATGTAACATTGTTCTCCTGCAGCCAGGCCGGACGATCAGCCACAAGGCTGTGCGGGCTTTCGCGAACCTCCGCTACTCGTCCTCGTACTACAGAATGAGTACCTAGGCGCCGTGCGCGAACACCCTGCACCCGCATGCTTCCACCAAACAGCATCACCTGTCCAATCAGACCTTGGACGGCAGTCGCGTTGCTACCTTGCATTGCTCAATTCTACCGGAATGGTGCTTGACGCTTCCTGAGGCATGCGCTCGCTTCAGTCACTCTGTAAAAGGGTGATGTCTAATGTACCGAGCGTCTGACTTAGGAGCCTGATTCGGCCTCGCGGGTATAAAGGCCTTCAGGTTGCTCTAGCCAGCCGAACTGCTTGCTCTAAGTCAAGCACCTGCCATCGTACATAAAGCACTTACTTTGAATTCGATTGCAATGAGTTCCACCGATAACGACTTGTCAGAGCAACAAAAGGCCAGGACGGGCAAGAGGCGGGGTAAGGATAGCAATGATGTCCATGGAACGGGCAACTCGTCGTGGAAACATCGTCGTGAATACAGCACTTTCAGCTATCAACCTTTGCCACGCAGCCAGGGGACCATTCGGATCCTTGAGCTTTTCTCTAGCGAAACTTCGGCTGCTGGAGTTCTTTGTGCATTGATCACACCAGGCGAGAACGAGAGACACCAATATCCCTATGAAGCCTTGTCGTGGTGCTGGGGCACAGCAGGCAAGTCTGCTGAGATCAGGATTCAACGCAATCGCAAGACATACATCAAGAAAGTGAGCCCGAACCTTGTGGCTGCTATGAAGGCACTTCGCTACCCGGACCGTAGCCGCTTCCTGTGGATTGACATGGTTTGCATCGACCAAGACGAGTAGGTCAGTCAATGATACTCAATCAATGATCGCTGACTTCTGTAGCCTGGGTGAGAAGAATCATCAAGTCGAGATGATGAACATAATTTACGGCAACGCTTCGCGAGTTTGCATCTGGCTTGGGGACGCGACAGAATCCAGTCGCATGGCACTGCGCTTCATCAAGAAAGAAGTCTCACATTTACGAAGCTTCGACACCCTCTGCGACAGTCAGGACGCGAGCAAGAAATGGGTCGCTTTACTAGATCTGATGCAAAGACCATGGTTCTCACGACGGTGGGTTGTTCAAGAATTGGCCTTGGCGAAGAACCCTATCATCTACTGCGGCAGAGATAGGATCTCTTGGAAGAAATTCGCTGTTGCCGTGGAACTCTTCGTGGAGGTGGAAACAGCGACGCATCGCCTGTCGGAGGTCATGAAGAAAGATCGACAGTACCAGTATATTCCCAGTGTTTTCGACTACGTCTCTGCCCTCGGCGCTAGCTTGCTTGTTGATGCGACAGAGCGCCTGTTTCGCGACTACAAGAAATCCGAAGTAGCGCAACCCGTGCCAGACCCTCTGGCACAGATTGAGTCAATCACCGATTCGGATAGCGAAGCCTTTTCTGACCCAAGCGACAGCGAAGACGACTACACATCTGCACCCCTTCATTCAAGCCATGTAGAGGACGTATCTGGTAGCTCGAGACATCGTATACAGCCTCTTCTGAGTCTGGAATATCTGGTATCAAGCTTGACCATTTTCGATACCACCGTTCCTCACGACACAATTTATGCACTGCTTGCGATCGCGAAGGACACTACACCACGAGCCGTGAGCGTAAATGCTGCTGTCACGTCTAGAAGCGCTCAAGCAGGCCTTGAGGTTTACACACAGCGCAAGAGCTACAACGTCGACTACAAACTGCCGTACGTAGATGTATGCAAGGACTTCATTCAGTTCTCGATCGACCGTTCTCTTCACGGCAACGCAAGTCGCGCGCTGGATGTCATTTGCCGCCCATGGGCCATCGAGGAGAGGAAGCTACAAAAGATGCGGGATACCAAGGAGAAAGAGAAGGAGAAAGAACAAAGAAGGAAGAAAAGAGAGAAGGACCTTGAAGCACGCCGCAAGGGACGCGAGAGCCGTAGAGCACTTTCCAATCATGCCGAACCTCCTGACCCACCTGAGGGAGCATCTGTTCAGAACGTATCTACGATTGCTGAATCGGGGGATATGGCATTGCCTTCCTGGGTACCACAACTCTCGAATGCACCATACGCGATGGCCCAACGGCCGGGTTTGACCGGCCCCAAGATGAGTCGCATTAACGCCGATCCTTTGGTTGGACTTCCAAGTTCCTACTCTGCTGCTGAGACCAAGGGCGTCGACATCAAGGCACTCCGATTTCGTAAGCGACTGAAACCTGGGCACTTTGACGAGGGTCGATTCAGCATGTACGTCCGCGGCTTCACGCTTGATGTTATAAAGGATGTCACACAGGTATCTCGCAACGGGCATATTCCCGCAGAATGGCTTGATCTTGCAGAGTGGGAAGACGGAAAAGGGTTCCCACCTGATATGTTTTGGCGGACGCTCGTCGCCAACCGGGGCAAAGATGGCAAGAATCCACCCGTATACTACTCGCGGGCTTGCCAAGAATCGTTCAGAAAAGGTGGTCTTGAGAGCGGCGCAATCGACACTACCGCGCTCATTGAATACGAACGCAATTCTGTCGTCGCCCAGTTCTGTCGCCGTGTGCAGGCCGTCACATGGAACCGTGCTCTTGTGCGTACCGAAAGCGGGACACTAGGGCTGGTCGGGAAAGATGTCCAAAAAGGCGATTTGGTCTGCATACTCTACGGATGCAGTGTTCCGGTCGTGCTGCGGGAATGCCCGAAGAAGACTGAAGAAGTATTCAAGGAAGAGATGGAACAAGAACTGGTCGATGTCAAGAATACTGTTGTAAAGAAACTGAGGCAATACATCTTGCGTAAACGACGACATGAAGCTTGGAAAGACAAAGAGATGGCAAGGCTGTGTCGAGTATGGCTGCGAACCACCGACTACATGCGTAGCCACGGTATCGATCCTTCCAGAATGTCATCCAAAGACAAGCAAAAAACCGCGAGCATCCTTCTACACACGTTGAAGCAAGCCATAACCGACTTCAAATCCTGGTTATGCGCAGAGCGCAAGAAGGTATGGCCCGCAATTGAGACCCGCATTAACGAGGAGGTGAATGAGAGAAAGGAGTACCCTAGAAGGAAGGTGAACAGGCCAGGCAAAAAGGAGACGGACGAAAACCTGCGCCGACAGACATCACGAAAACGGAGACAATCACTGGGTGCTGCAACCATGCTGGGGAGAATTACTGAAGTACCAACAACGACTGAAGGTGCTCCCCCTGCCACTTCTAAAGAAGGCCCCACAGCCACCAAGAAGAAGAAACCATTGGTAGACTGGTGGGATTTCGAGCTGGCACTTGTTGCCGGTAGGCGCTGGTTGCAAATGACCAGAAAAGGGAAGGCCAATCGGATCAACTTTGCGCTACAGTACAGTGAACATCTTTGGAAACAAATGCAGCATGGCGAATACGAGGCTGTCAAAATGCGCGTGGAGAAAGGAAATATCAAGAAGATGGATGACCAGACGGATCAGCACCGGTACCGCGTGATGAGCGAACGCCACACCCACAATGGAGGTGTGACTGGTGGCTACCAGATAGCGAACAAGGGACTCGAAAGGAATGACTCACCGACAAGAGACAACGAGGAGCATCGAAATGATCAGGACGATGAATACTCTCAGTATCATGGAGACAACGAGGAGCCTGACAGCACTGAGGGTCACGGAAAGACCGAGAGAGAAATTGATGCGTATGACGGTGACCACAAGACAGAATCGGAACCTTACGGGAACGGAGAGACGTCTCAGGCAAGTTCAAGATCGTCGAGCTCGAGACCCTTTACTGCACATGCGCCGCCTAACATCCCAGCGGCCATCCGGCCCAGCTGGCGCCGCCCCGTAAACAAAACGAAGTTGGAGGCTGACGAGATAGAAGAATACGATAAGAAAGTCAGGGAAAATCTGCGTGAGAGGCTCGGCGACGAAGGCTACTTTTCTTACACGCTTCTTGGCGAGTGTTACATTCATGGAATGATGGATGGTGAGGCAATGCAGCACCAGAATGAGGGTGCTGAAGGGGTCATTCCTTCGATGGTGTTCGAGATTCGTTGATGGTTAGCTCTTTAGTCCGTGTAGCAAATACGATTTCGTGTTGTCTCAAAACTCGATACAGATTCGCCGAACTTGAGAGCGCGACAGAGTGATTAGATGGTTTGCCCGAATAATGAGATGTCGCGTTCTCACGTGCATGCGCGTGGTCACTAGCTTAAACGGGCCACGTTTCAGGAGCCTGACGCGTCAGCCCCACATCCGCGTTGCCGAGGAAATGCCAGGTCGTTTTCTCGTTATGCTCCCCTTGTTGTAGCAGCACCACGCCTCAATTCTTCACATCCTACACCTCAATTCCCCTCAATTGATCTCAAAAACCTCACAAGAACTCATCGAAACCATGGTTGCCCACTGCGCGCTATGCCCTGACGAAGGCAAGCTCAGATGTGTCGCCTGTAACGGAATCCAGTACTGCTCCAAGCGGTGCCAAAAGGCCGATTGGAAAGTCCACAAGCTCATTTGCAAGTCCTTCAGCGAGCACATGAAAAACCGGCCCAGTCAAAAGCACTACAGCATCATTGTCTTCCCGAAAGATGAAGAGGCGCCTCGCTTCGAGTGGACTCTATTCGAGCCTGGCACCTACAACGCCAAGATTCCGTCGCCCAAGAAAGCGTACGTACAAGAGCTGGGCTTCGAATTTTATGGCGTAAACTGCAACAATCGCAACAACCCCATAGGATACTTCGAGGAAGACAGCACCGATTACACGACTAAGAGGCACATTGCTGGAAAGCATCTCGGATTGCTCTTTACGAGAAACCTGGGATCTTTCGAAGAGCCTTTGCCGGAGGATATACCAATCAGTTCGTCAATGCCTTTGTATAGATTGCACGGGCAATGTAATAACTCGATACAGACAAGAGCTTGATGGACATCGATCCTGAGCTTGCGCGACTCCACGGCAAAGGTCACGTCCTTGCCTGGGGCTGCCATTGTCCTGAAGACAGACGCAAAACCTCCGATCTCAACTGCACACCGGCAGACTTCCGCCACGCCGTCGATGCCCTGAGGAAGAACCATTACAAAGACAGCCTGCGGGCGAAGGAGGTCATATCAAGGAAGACTGGTGGTGTCCTCGCCGTGCGCCTCACGTGCGTGGGCGACAAGCTATTCTTCGGCCATCCAACATATGAGAGCCAAATCGAGCCGCGCTCCATCCTGAGCAAGGACTCGCAGGTCCCCTGCCCAGTCGCCGACAGAGTCGGCATTCCACTCATCATCCGGAAAGAGCCCCCTGCGCTCTCTTGGCGCGACCGCGACGTCGAGTCCCGTCGGGAGAACCACAACGCGGCGATGCTCAACCCGCCTAACCAGAAGACTAAGACCGGCACTCTGATCATTGCTCGCAAGGATGGCAAGCCGCTGTTGCCTACGCACCTCTTCTGCCTCATCATCTATACTGGCGAGAGGCTCCAAGACCCGAAGTACGGTGAGGACGGCCATCGTCTGCCGAGTATGATGTTGCAGAGCCGTTTGAACCTGGTGTCTCCGGAGGACTTTGAGGAGTATTACAACAACGAGTGGCATCGCTTGAAGCTTAGTGAGAGGTTCGTCCCATCGCCTTACCAGATGTATGATGATTATGATGGCGAGATTCATCCTATCAATATGAGATAGGTTGGGATGGAAAGGGGAGAAGCATTGGCTTGTTGATGAGATATAGCGATGTGTGGAATGTACGAATGAATGTAGTCTGTTATGTTCAGCTAGATAGCGTCTAAATCAACTTACGTTCCGTAGCTACAATTCGCTCTTATGTGACACCTCCCTACTAACACCATCCCCCTCTTTCCCGCCACCACTTCCGGCTAGCCTGACAGCAATGGTGGGCTTATGTACCAAGGTCTGCAGCACCACACAATACCTCTCTGTCAACTTGCCCAACTTCTCAATTTCTTCCTCGCTGACCTCCTTGCCGTCTTCCCTCTCCCCAAACCTGACCGCAAACTCCAACCGTATGCCTGTTATGCCAACGGGAGCCGTTCTGTCTACGCCCAATGTGCCTTTGAAGTCCAAGTCTCCTTCTGCGGTAACGGTGCCGGAGGCGATGGGTATGCCGAGGGCGGTAGCGACGGCTTTTAGGGTGACGCCTGAGCAGGCTACGAGGGCATCGAGAAGCATGTCTAATGGACGGCGCGTAAAGTCAGCATGTGTATCACATATAATTCCGATAGAGTCTTTGCTTACCACCAGAGCATAGTTCGCCAGATATCGCTGGGTCGTCACCGCCAGCCTTTTGATGCAGACCAGCCACTCTATGCGCTTCCTTCACAGCTGAGCTATCGGAAAGCTTGCATGTTATCGAATGGTCGTCAAGCGAGCCAGTAGACTTGAGGGTGACAACGGCGGAAGACGGGTCGCTGCGGTACCCGTCTTTGATTGGGGCTTGCTTTTGGCGGAGCGCTTGAGCGGCGGACATGTTTGCGATGGATTGAATGCGAGATCGGTATGTGAAGAGACGCGAACTTCTGTACTTAGTTTCAAGTATAAACTTCTGCAAGGACGCCTAGAATCTTCTCAGAGGCTCAAAAGTCATGGTTAGCCTATACATCATTATGAAGTGTACCCCGCAAGGGGCAGGTGGGAGCTCCGCAGCCCCGCTTCGCCGCTGGTGCGAACGATCAAACAGGAAGGAGGGGTGGCTCGGTCGGGCAGATGCCCAGAGACCTCATGTCGAGAGCTTGGAATCTTATGCCGATAAAGACATTTGAGACGGAAGAGAGGAAGAATAGCAGGCACGACCTGCGCGAGTTGGATTTGCTACAGATACGCAGACACGCGATAAGATAAGCGTCAGGGGTCCAGCGCGTGTGCGGCACGCGTCTTCGCTCCACTTCCACGTCATTTCTCGTCATGTCTCTTGCCTTCGTACAATCTACATTGTGATCGCGTCCTTTCTTGTGCGTACACTAACCTCCGATCCTCGAGCACGAGTGAGTTAGTGCAAGCCACCTGGGCAAAGCCGAGACAAGTTCGTCTGTTACAGGCTCGTAAGGGTTGGGACGACGGCTATCGCATTGCCAATAATCCAAGGCCACTGCCTTTGACACGGAACATACAGTTCATCCGTAAGCCCTTTCGCTTGTCTTCAAACCTTGCATAGATCGAGTAGGCGTGCGGACCTCTGTATGCAAACATTAGGAGGGTTGCCAACTGAGAGACAAATACGGTGGTAACAAACTGATCGGACAGCGCGTGGCTGTGATATGGCCGTCGAGACACCAGCGGACGATCTAACGTGCTAATCAGCTCAGTCTCACGATACCCATTCACGCGTCTTCATTCTGAGCGCTGCAATCTCGACGTCGACATCCTAGCCATCCTACCCCCGCGCAACCGCACTTACACCTACGCGCTCAGCATGGCTCGCTTTGCCGACCTTCCTACTGAGCTCGAGCTCCAAATCGCGTCACATCTCTCCTCCAAAGATCTCGCCTCCTATGCGCGCATCGGCAAAGTCCAAGCCAAGGTCGCACGCGAGCATCTCTACTCCGCACCGACGATCGAACAACCAGATGAGGGGCATCGGCTAATGATGCTGCTACGCACATTGTTCGCCCGCCCTCAGCTCCTCACAAACATACACTCGATATCGCTCGCTATCGTGAACTGTACTATGCCTTTCGGCCTCGGTTCGACAGCAGAGAGGGCCGAAGCTACACGTATCGATTGGGATACGACTAACAATGCCCGTTTTGTTGAGGTCGATAGAATTGTCGGCAGCCCTCATTGCTTGGGATACAAGGACGTGTATGAGCAGCTCGTCTTCCGCCTCAAAAAAGTCATGGGCAATCATGACTCCGAGCGGTATTGGTTTTCGCATATTGTGAGATGGCGCTCTGCAGCTCTCTACGGCGGATTACTCCGAATCCTGCCTAATCTAGAGCGACTGGAGCTTCAATGCTACACCAATCTACATGAAGGGATATACCTACCTACAGATGAGACAGATCGCAAGTTCTCGGAACGTCTCTTTCCTTCCACGCCGTGGCGCATAGGCCCGGTGCGTTTCCCGATGTTGAGCGAGCTACATGTCAAGTGCGGACTCTTGATCAATAGCACTCACCTCTTACCCAATTTGAGGACCTTGAAAATTGGTGAGCTCGCAGATCTCCCCCATACTGAGTTTCCGTCCCTAGTACGCATGCACCATTTGTCTGCGTGCGCTTCCTTGTTGCAAGGAGAAAGCCCGGATTGGGCTATGCCTCGACTATATCAACTTGATGATGATATGTTAGAAGTACAAAACTTCAATTTACGCTTCCGGGCACAGACCGTCCGCAGTATCGGCGGTGGTCCCGTCCGATACGGCGCTATTCTTTCTCTTGCTGGGATGTTGGAACGTCTACATGTGTCTAAGTCAGTTCTCGAGACGCTATCCGTAGAACCTATCGACCATGGCGAACTCTTACACTACCGGTTTCCAGTAAATCCCGATGGGTTGATATCGGACTTCAGCATGTTCACCCGCCTACGAGAGCTTACTTTGCCCTTTCGACCATCTACAGATACTCTGGAGGGTAAACTACCTCCAAGTCTGGAAAAGCTTAGCCTGCTGTGCACCAGCGCAGTTTCTCCCACATCGGTCGAACATACCCTTCAACACCGGCTCAAATACGGCATCTTCTCGCGTCTCGATCTTTTCCTCTTGTCTGAGGCTGACGTGAACATCAATCACGAAGCCTGGGATATGTTCAAGAAAGCTGGCGTGGCTGTGTATATCTGGGTGCGGCAGTCTGTGCTTCTGTATGAAATGCCTGTGTAGGCCAGGAGGGCTTGAGAACGGCATTGACATTTTCTGATGAATCAACAGAAAACTTGGCAGATTCGTGAGGAGTGATCATATTGATGCAAATCTGGACATGGATGTGGGACCATGGCGGACGCTAAGAGATTAAGGGAGTAAGCGCGTCTTCACGTGGTTTGGTGCTACTCTCCCTCTGGGCAGCACCTTTCAAGCCTGCGCCAAACCACCCAACAACAGCTCCGACTCAGTGAGTGTCAATCCGGTCTGAATCTTCGCGTCTTTGAACATCGCTGTCATTGCAGCTCTCAGTTACTGTACGACAGACTGTAGTGCCTGCAGCCAAGTCCCTGGTTGCGATCTTTCACCTCCGCGACACGACCAGCGCCCGAGAGTCTGTGCACGAAGCAGCGCCTGATCGTCATTTCGTTGCGACCTTCTCTCGCTATTATTTAGCTTTTCAGCAGCCCTCACCCCTCTCCATCGTCTATCCACTCACGAAAAGCGTCTAGCTGGACGGCGCCTACCCCAACACATCTTTGCACAATCCGGTACCACAGGATTTGTCGCCAACATGTCGCTCACCAGCTCCGCCGCTGTCTGCCAAGCTACTCCCGGTAACAAACCGTTCAATTTCGTCGCTCTTCCTCTCGAGGTCAAGGAGCTTATATACAAGCACGCCATGTTCGCTGGCGGCCATCTCAGGAACAAACTCTACGTTCCTACCGACATTCCCACCGGCATTCCCGGCAAGAACGCACTCCAGGACTCTTTCCCAGCGATTTGTTTTACCAACAAGCTCGAGCGCATCATCGCTTCCCGACTCTACCTGCGATACCAAACAATCTTCATGGACAACAGTGACGACTCACCAGTTCTTGAAGCTTTCCTATCACAGTTCGGAGAAGCCAATGAGGGACTACGATGGTTGAAACATGTTCAATTTGCCTATTACGGAGACTTCTGTGACGACTTCAGCAAAGCTATACCTTTGATCAAGGTGTGCACCGCGCTAAAGACAGTTGTGTTCCATATGGTCTCACCACATCTTTATAAATGGTCGGAAAGTGGACCGACAGAGAAAAAACCTAGCACTGGTGCTGAGATCTTCGAGCGTCTGCGTCTACATGGCTTGGCCGACTGTGGTCATTTGACCAAGGTTCGATTCCACGTGTTTAGGGGTCGTCGTGCGGAACTGGAGGGCCTGAAGGAGTTGATTCAAGACTTTTCATGTGACTTTCTGGCGCTGCACGGATCGACAGCTTTCAAAAAACTCGATGTCGGTATTGAGGATGAGCATGGTCTGATATGGGTGTTGGAGCCGCAGGCATGAGAGCAAATGCACGGACATGGCACGGTAAAGTAATTATCGATGGGCCTTTTGCTGCATGCGATTACGACTTCACAAGAGCAGTGGATGGGTGCAATAGTGAGGGCTGGGGTATACATTGATGTGCGTCACAATACAACCAACGCAGATGTGGGTTATTGAGGTCGACGTGAAGCTGGGTGAAGGTGAAGGCGAGGTACAATAAGATCCCTGTCTTTTGTCGGCGCGATTCAGTACCTACCAGTGTGTAGGCCCTTGATTGCGAGTAATACGATGTTTAGAGTCTGAGTCCGAAGACAAATTATGTATCATTAGGAATCTCATTTCATCTTTCCTAGTGGCGAGTGCTTGTGCACTCTGCAGTGCATGCCCGTGTCGTTTTGACAGTCATATGAGAGAACGCCTGGGGGCTAAGGCCGAGACAGGCCAAGCTCGATACGCCACCTACTCACCGTGCAGCGTGTCGAAGTAGCAGTCGACAGACTTGATCTTGTTCTGTCCATTGCCGTTAGTCTAGATGTCCTTGCCAAAAGGGGCCAAATATCTAGAGCACTCACATCCAATCCGATAGTAGCAAGATTTGCAATGGATTCGCGGGCCGAGTACGACGGGTTACCTTGGCATTTGGAATTCCTAGCTTGGGTCAGCCTTGTATCACTTGTGAGCCTGCTTGATGAGACCTACTCGTATAATTTGCAGGTAAAAGGCCTGTCCCTATTGTTATAGCCGTCGGGACACGGAGTTAAAATGACCGAGGAAGCCCAAGGGTTGTCCCTACAATGTATCAGCAAATGTACATGGTGGAGTCTGGTGCGCTTACTCCCTGATTACCCTACAGCCACTATCGCCCTGGTGGCAGGAGTAGGCGACACTTCTGCTACCTTGGTAATCGGGTTGTTCAAATAGGGCAAGCTAAATGGATATCAGCGAGTTGATCAAAGGGACTATGATGCGCCATACCAAGTACACGTCTGCGGCGCGGGTGTCTGCGGTGCCGATGTCTGCGGTGCTGATGTCGGAGTGGCGCTCAGAACGAGCATCAACTCCAGCGACGTGAGCATCCTTATCTTGGAAGCACTGCATGGACCTAATCGTCTCCTGTTCATCATGGTCAGTAAAGGAACGCTTCTTTCACGACGTCCAGACTCATTGGTACTCACATCGAATCTCGGCGTCGACTTTGTGAGATCGTCGATAGACGTGCGCGTCAAAAGAAACCTAGAAGTATAGTCGCAGGTCGGTGTGCTAGCTAACGTTACTCTCGTACCGCAGATGAGCTTGCTCGATAAGACCTACGAGAAGAAGAAACATGCGAATGTCTTGTTCCCAGTTGGTGAGCCGTGGGGGCATGTTTGTAGAGTGAGCGAAGAAGCCCATGGCTCAGAGCTTGAATATGTTAGTCATGGTGAAGTGGACTGACTCGGTGCACTCACGCGCCGTCTGCGAGGCAACCATTCATTCCTGTAGCGCATAGGTAGGCTTTAGCTCGCCTGCCTTGCTTGTAAGGTCCTTCGTAGAGGTGTACCTAGAGGGAAGTTAGAGAAGATAAGTAAGAGGTAGTGGTGTGCACGTACAGCAGCCGGAAAAGGGTTAATGTCTGTAGTGCTGACGTCGGCAACCTCCGAGATACCGTCGAGCTTGACGCGGGACGCGCTCGCGAACATTTCCTGAGGCATGATCACTTCGCTGCCGTCGATGACCATAGGCTCATCGCTGAGCTCGATCGTGGTGCCATCAGTCTTTTGCAAAGTGAAGCCAGCTGCAACCGAAAGCAGCGTGAGAAAGAGGATGAGGAGACGCATTGCGGGTGAGAGATTACTGTAGGGGGACGAAGTGATGAGTCGAATTGGGAAGGAGTTGATTTGACTTGTTGGTGGAGGAAGAAGTAGGAGGCAAGGATCCAACGGGAGCGCAGGCTTATGTGTTGGGAAGAGCAGAAAGTAAAGGCAGGCTAATTCCAGAGTCAGCAAGTGAGTGCCCGTTTGCCAACATTCCGATCGTTAGTGAAGCCGAGGCCTATGTCCGACTTCTGTGTCACGTATGAGAAATCAGTCGATTGCACGTGCTTTCGCGCAAACGACGCCGCGAGAAAGCTGGTTAATAACACATGTTGGCCTTTCGCTTTCACTTATCAGTGGTTGTCGTAGAGACTCGTGATGTGGGGCACTAAATCAATGTAATCATTTGAGGTTAGGAACTGCTGAGACAAGCCTCCGCTAGCCCTCCCAGGTACTCATCAGATGTTCGTGACACCCAGCTTTTCTTCCCTTTGGCCTACTATGGTGAAGCTGAAGGAAGATAAACCTCATCCTACAAGCGTGTCTCTCTCGTAAACTGAGTCCATATTGATCCATCATCACCTGGACGGCCCGTCTGTATGCAGCCCTGCCTTCACCTCAAATCCGAAGTCGTACGAAGACGCGACACCTGGTGACCTACCCAAATGTGTGCTCCATGAAGGCGTTTGGAAAAACGACACTTAGCGCATCAACCAACAGTTGTGGCGATTCTTAGCTAGTCCGAGTATAGAGAGTGCGTCTGGTCAATGTTGAAGTTCAGAGGATGGCGTCGGGTGCTCATACGACAACCCCGCGGGTGATCGGCGCTAAGGCCTCTGAACTCTCATTGGCCCCCTCTATCGCCCACAGGTAGGCAGCGACTACCACCAGAGAACCCCGAGCCTCGTAGCCTTCGCCCTAGACCTGCCACAATGCATCAATCAAGTGTTGGCAATCTGCTTAACCTACTCCCTCGACCTCCATGGACCCAGCCACTCGATTGGGATCTGAGAATGAACTGGGGTGGCGAAAAACGTGTCTTCTTCCCTGCGTACGTAAGGCACCGTGACGGCAAAAATACATCGCAACCATCGCCTACCGGGTTCTCTTCATTCCAAAGGCTTCCCACCGAACTTCAGCTCCGTATCCTCTCATGTTGTTCGATACCAACTCTTTGGCAGCTCATGCGAACGTCATCCATGCTACGCATCGAGTCATCAAAGCTGTTCTGGGGACATGCCGACGCCTCTTTCCTCCTGTCTAGTAGTTGGATTATCAGAGGCGGCCATTCTGGTCATACTTGCGTCGACCTCACGTTCCTTGCCTATGTACAGAACGTAGAGATTGAGTACGGCTGCCTGCATAACTGGCTTTGGCCGGAACGAGAAGCAAAAGAACCGTTCCGCCCAGAAGACGTGCAACAGGATATTGTGGCTGGATTCTGGTCTACATTGAGGAAGAGATGCCCGGCAGCTAAGAGGGTAGTGTTCAACCAGAATTTGATGCTCTGCGACGTCATAGAGGAAGTCGAGAATGTGCCACTATGCCTAGAAGTGTTGTTACGAGCTTCTCCAAAAGACGTCGCCGCTGAGGCAGTCATCATGCAGACGCGAGGGAAAGGTGAAAATTGGAAAACCGACTTGTACAGCTATAGGGAGAAGCCGCAGTGGAGAAGTTTATACTTTCGGCCTCTTGGAGATGGAGGTTGGGAATATCTTGAGGCGACAACGCGTAATAATACAGTACTAGTGCCTGGACGGCCATTTCGCGGTCTAGTCGGGCAGTTTGAGAAACACAGCTTTGTTTCGGATAGGAACGTCCTCCAGAGACGCGCGCTTTTGCCTCTCTTCATAGAAGCCTTGGACCGACACCACTTCGACAAGGGGAAAAGCAATGCTTTTGAATGCCCTAAGCCCGAATGCTCAGTGAGATTTACAGAGGCTGGTGAATGGACAATACATGCAGCGACTACGTCACATGGCTGCGCTCGAGCAGAGAATGGTTGCTTTGATATACTGCCTACAGAACTGCGAGGCGTGTTCGAGAACAGGTATGAGATGTTGTGGATGAAGATACAGGAACTGAGCGAGGTCTGCGAAAACATGTTGGAAGATTGGAACGAAGAAGGTGGGGAAAAGAGAAAAGGAATGGAACATGAATTTCTTCAACAACTGGAGAACGATCCGGATTGGGCGACAGACGAGCCGGCGGCAGAAAGTCGAATCTGGAGAAACTTCACAAAGGTGATGGATACGGCCTGGAAGGACCTTCTGAGTTCCCATGATTGAGAAACACTGAAGCCCAAGGCTTGCATTGGACACGCGATGGAAGGACCTACAGTGAACAGGATTTGCGACCTGGCTGAGAGTGTATAATGACATTTCAGGGAACTAGTTCGGTCGCGACTCGGTAGTTTGAAAGGGTCGCATGCCGGTAGTCGGAAGATGCAGTGATCTGTGGACACTAGATCATTTGGAGTCTCACGGGCGCGACGTATGCTTGATCAGGATCAGTAATGCTATCAAATGCCCAAGTCGCGGTAGAGCCGGCTCGGTTTGTTCGCTTCCGTACAGTGTCTTCGGTACCAACTCAACCATGAGTTCGAGATCAGGTGCATCGGCAAATCGTAAAGAGCTGAGCGCTCCGGTGATGTGTTTACTCAACAGGCTACGGATATCACCCTGCTCCACCTCCGATGGGTCCAGCGCGTGCACCGAGAAGCTCAGTCGGACATCGACTCTGCCATCTCGAACCATCGGGCCGTAAAATTTTCTCGTTCATCATGTACGCTACTAGGCGTGTCGATATGCAAATTTTGAGCCTCATCCTACCCACAACGCGTCTCGAAGCACGCGTGGGCCGTTCGGAGGTGTCGGAGCATCCGGAAATGGAAAGCCGACCGCCACTATACCGTGTTTTCGCGTGGCAGACCGTCTAGAAGTCAGCGACTTGCATGCCCCACGTGCAAATGTCGGGGGCAGGTCGGGGGCAGGTCGGAGGTGGATCGAGAAATCGATAGTGGAGGTTCCGCGGAGGAGTGAATCGTGCACCGGCAGCCGGTGTGCCATGGGGGCGAGGCGCCAGGCGTTCGAGACGGTAGCCGAGCTGACGTCACGGGTCGCATTCTTGAGTTCGATAAACAAGGCTAAGACGCGTGGCGCGACTTGGCGCGGACGATCGGCGCAGCTTGGTCTGCCTTCTTTCGATGCTTAGAGGGCGGGCGGAGGCCTTGTGTTGGAGGCTTAAAAGCCAAGATCAGGTGTTGCGAAACCATCTGTGGTGTGGGAATCGTGCGAAGATAAGACTTGCAATGCAGTCAAGGATGACGTAGCACACCTTCTACCAATTACTCGGTGTACACCCGACAGTGAGGAGATGGCAAGGCGTCCCGCGTGTCTGTCCAAAGCCAATACTACCTTCGCTTCGGTCGACGCGCACTTAAGTTTCGACCCATATTTAATGCTACATCGCCTGGTCTGAGAGGTCCCGGGGACAGTGTCCAACGGCCTCTAGCACCAACGCGCCATAGCGCTCAAGCCCTGTCAGCCGTGGAAGCTGTAATATGACGTTTCGAGGATTCGAGCGCGTGCCTTGTGATGCGCACAGTGTGCATTGGGCTCTTTGGAGCGTGCACCCGCGCCTCTGGATTCACTGCGCGTCTTATAAGTTGCTTCTTCCGCCTGCGTGACGTCTGGGTTTTATCATCTTACCCCAGATTCTCCCACCCAGTCCCCGCAACTGGTTCCCGGGTTGACTACTTTTGACCAACAACCCACCCAAGCGCATTGCTGTCGACAACATGGCGTCTGCAGCAGAGCGTAAGCCCGAAATCCACGACATGGACACCGTCAACAAGAACGAAGCTGGTGACGCCGAGAAGAAGAGCGCTTCCGACGGTGACCTTCACCACACTGAGAACCCGGCCGATCACGCGATCACCGCCGCCGACAAAGAACACTACGAAAAGTACGGTACCTACGATCGCTACGAAATTACCGAGGAAGACTGCTACGACGAACTCGGGTTTTGCTTTCCAACATGGAAGAAATGGACCATTCTCAGCATCGTCTTCATGGTGCAGGTCAGCATGAACTTCAACACCTCGTTGTACAGCAACGCCGTCGGGGGTATCTCTGAAGAGTTCAGCGTCAGCAAGCAGGCAGCGCGTCTGGGTGCAGCCATCTTCCTTATCACGTACGCGTTCGGCTGTGAGCTCTGGGCTCCCTGGAGTGAAGAGCTAGGACGATGGCCCATCCTCCAGCTCAGTCTCTTCTTTGTCAACATCTGGCAAATTCCCGTGGGCATTGCGCCCAACTTCGGCACCATCCTTGGATTCCGTGCACTCGGTGGTCTCTCTACTGCGGGTGGTTCAGTCACGCTCGCCATGGTCGCGGACATGTGGGAACCGTAAGTACCTTGCACCTTCATTCGATTTCCATACTAACAGTGTCAGTGACAACCAACAATACGCCGTCGCGTTCATCGTCTTCTCCTCGGTCGGCGGTTCGGTCCTCGGACCCATCGTGGGTGGTTTCGTCGAACAATTCCTCGCCTGGAGGTGGAATATCTGGATCCAGTTGATCTTCGGTGGAGCCGTCCAAATCGCCCACGCCATCTTCGTTCCCGAAACCCGTACCACCGTCCTTATGGACCGGATCGCTAAGAAGCGCCGTACAGAAGGCGAGAAGAACGGCAAGCCCAACAACATCTGGGGACCCAACGAGCTCAAGACGTTCAAGGAACGTTTCAGTGTCCACGAGATTCTCGTTACCTGGGTCCGTCCCTTCCGCATGTTCGTCACGGAACCCATCGTACTCGTTCTCTCCCTGCTCTCCGGTTTCTCCGATGCGATCATCTTCATGTTCCTGCAGTCGTACGCACTCGTATACGAGCAATGGAACTTCTCCGCCTACGCTATTGGACTGACCTTCATCGCTATCGGTATTGGCTACTTCATCGCGTGGTTCTCGTTCTTCCCGGCTATCAAGCGCAACGAGCGCCTCCGTCGCGACCACCCAGATGAT